AGTATTTCACATTGCTTGTTAGATTTATCGCTAAATATTTCATATTTTATGATGCTATTGTAAATAGTATTGCTTTTAATTTCACTTTTCAATTGTCTGTTTTTAGTAAATAAAAATACAGTTGAGTTTTGCATATTGATCTTATATCCTGCAACCTTGCTAAACTAATTTATTAGTTCTAGTAGTTTTTTAAAAAAATAGATTCCATTGAATTTTCTACATAGATGATCAGGTCACCTGAGGGTAAAGCCATTTTAGTTCTTCCTTTCTAAACTCGGTGCCTTCTATTTCTTTTTCTTACTGCACTGGCTACAATCTCCAATGTCGAATAAAAGCGGTAAGAGCAGACACCCTGTCTTCTTTGTGATCTTCATGGGAACGCAATCAGTCTTTTACCATTAAAAATGGTGGTAGCTATGGGTTTTTCATAGATGTACTTAGTTGGTTTAAGGAAGTTCTCTTTTATTACTAGTGTGTTGAGACTTTCTCAAGAATGGAAATTGCATCTTGTCAAGTGCTCTGTTTATTAAGATGATCATATGGGGTTTTTTTTTAGTTGGTAAATATGGTAAATTATAGTGATTGATCTTTGGGTATTAAACCAACCGTGCATCCCTGGGATAAACATCACTTTGTCATGATGCATCACCCTTTTGATACTTGGTTGGACTCAATCTGTGAAAATTTTGTTTAGAATTTTGGATCTATGTTCATGGGGGATATTAGCTTATAGTTAGGTTTTGATATCAGGGTAATGCTGTCCTCACAGAATGAGGTGGGAAATGCTCCGTTATTTCCAGTGTTATAGAAGAGTTTGTGTAAAACTGGTAATATTTCTACAACAATACAGGCACAGATTAGCCAGGTGCCTCTGGCTCAGGGTTTCTCACGAGAATGCAGTCAAGGGGTCAGCCATGGCTACAATCCTCCAAGGCTTGACTGGGGTAAAATCTGCTTCCAACCTCATTCATATTGCTATTAGCAGGCCTCAGATGTATTTTCAAGCTTACTGACGTGGCTGTTAATAAGTCTCAGGTCCTTGCTGGCTGTGGACTGGAAACATCAGTTCCTTGCCATGTGGGCTTCTCCACAGGCAACAGCTCACAATATGGCAGGTGGCTTCCCTCAAAGTGAGTGAGAGTGAGCATGTGAAATAGTGAGAGACATCCAAGATGGAAGCCATAGTCTTTTTGTAACCTTATCTCCAAAGTGACATCTTATTAACAAGCAAGTTAGTAAGTCCAGCCCATACTCAAGGAGAGGGGATTTCAAAAAAGTGTGACTATCACTTTTTTGTGAGGTAAGAATCATTGGAGAACATTTTAGAGCCTGCCTACCATAATTGTTCTTAACATTACCTTATTATCCTCCTAATATCTGTAGACTCACAAGTGATGTCACCTCACCCTCTCTCCCTTCCTTATTTGGGTAACTATATCTTCTCTCTTTTTTTCCTAATCACTTGAGCTAGACGTTAGTCAATTTTATCGAGCATCACAAAGGGCTTTGGTTTCACTGTTTTTTTCTGTTTTCTATTTTACCAGTTTCCACTCTGATTATTATTCCCGTTCTTTTGCTTACTTTGGGATTCATTTGCTCTTTTCTTCTGTTTCATAAAGTGGATCTTTCTTCTCTTCTAATATGGAGTTTAGTGCTGTAATTTCCCCCTCAGCACTGTTTTAATGGCATCCAACAAATTGTGATATGTTGTATTTTCATTTTCATTCAGTTGAAAATACTTTCTAGTTTCTCTTTTGATATCCTCCTTGACCATGAGTTATTTTAAGGTGTGCTATTTAGTTTCCAAATTTCTCAGGATTTCCCAGAGATCTTTCTGTTATGGATTTCAAATTTAATTCCATTGTGGTCAGAGAACATACTCTGTATGACTTGAATCCTTTTGAATTCAATGAGACTTTTTCTATGGCCCAAAATATGATCTATCTTGGTAAGTGTTCCATGTGTACTTGAAAAGAATGTGTATTCTGCTGGTGTCGGGTGTAGGATTATATAGATGTCAATTAGGTCACATTGGTTGATAGTGTTATTCAAGTCTTCTATAGCTTTACTAATTTTCTCTTGTAGACTACATTTTAAAATTTTATTAAAAATGCAATATCTGCAACTGAAATTGAACATTACTATATTATTGTTATTTTATTAAAATATTTTTCTTCCTCTGGCACACACATGCATGCACACACACACATGCAATCACAAACTTAGAGACCACAAAATTGGAATGAAATGAAGCATCTCATTGTGCTGCTGCACCTTTGAACAAATTTTATTATTTAATAAAGCACTTTTGAAGCTCGATTATTTTATCTTTCCATATCTGACCTTGTAAGCTGCTTAATTGCACAAGCTGTTTTTATTCACAGTGCCTCTTAATATTTTATTCTTTATGCCAAGTCATGCTCCCACTGCAAGCAAGACAGGCAGCAAAATCTTTAATAGAATGAAAGAAATATAGGTGCTTCTACATAACACTTACAAGTGTTCCTATTTTAACAGGATATATAAATGCTTTAAAAACCGTGCCTTCTACAAAACTGCGTATAAAAATAATGGGTTATGGGAAAAATAGTATGGGGTCATAACACTTGAAACATATTTAACTTTATAACCAGAATACCAATATTTATTTATTTTTGTGAGGAAGATCAGCCCTGAGCTAACATCCATGCTAATCCTCCTCTTTTTGCTGAGGAAGACGGCTCTGAGCTAACATCTATTGCCAATCCTCCTCCTTTTTTTTTCCCCCAAAGCCCCAGTAGCCCCACAGTTGTATGTCATAGTTGCACATCCTTCTAGTCGCTGTATGTGGGATACGGTCTCAGCATGGCCGGACAAGCAGCGCGTCGGTGCGCGCCCGGGATCCGAACCCAGGCCCCCAGTAGCCGAGTGCGTGCACTTAACCGCTAAGCCACAGGGCCAGCCCCAGAATACCAATAAAAATAATAATTATTCCAATTAAAATACGAGCACTCAACAAATGTCTACTACCCTTTGTACCCAGGATCACAGTTGATTTTTGCAGCCTTAAATCTGCAAGATGTAAGTCCTTGAGGACAATGTTATCCAATAGATAACAGTCATCAAAATTAAAAATATGCTCTGGATCGGTGCTTTCTTCAACAATCAATCATTTTTAAACACAAGGGAAATGTCTTCTCTGCTTCTTCATCTATTTCTATAGCTTCATCAGATAGCTTCGTGTTGTGGGTAAGACACCAGTTCTTGAAACCATTAAACCAGCTGCTACCTGCACCGCTGTAGCATTCTTAGCTTAAGGCTTTTTTCTTTTACTGTTAGAAAGCTTGCCCCCGAATGCTTTAAACCATTGATTCGCTGGGGAAAAAACTTAGATATAAACCAATTATATTATTTTCTTATTTGCCAATCAGGTATTAATTTGCATTATAGAAATGGGCTGCAGCTGAAAAGACTCTTCTCCATAGTTCTCTATCCTTGAAATGCGTGATTTTCCTAGTCATTTTCTTGGCAATAGCCACCATTAGGATTTAAATATTCTTCCTCGCAGGATCACTGAAAACATATTTACTGAGCATCTATTAGGTTCTAGAGTCTATTGTAAATGCTGGAAACAGTGGTGAGAACAACAAACTAGGTCCCTGTATTCAGAGATTTTACATTCTGGTGGGGGACATGGACAATAAACAGGTAAATCAATAAATATGGTAATATCAGAGAGTTATACTGGCTATGAAGAAAATAAAACAGGGTGATGATATATGGGATGAGACATGGGGGCTGGGTGGCCATTCAGTAAAGAGGCTACTTTAGATAGGATAATCAAGGAAGGCTTCTCTGAAGAGGTGACATTTGAGCCAAGACCTATAAGATGAGAAGGAACCAGTCACGGTTCTGGAGATCCATAAAGATCTGGAGAAGACTGTCAGGCATTGGGAACAGTAAGGGGACAGTAAGTCGAAGGCCTTGAGATAGGAGTAGACAGTATATTTGAGGAACAGAATGAAAAGTGGCTGGTACAGCTTCAGGGCTATACTCAGAATGGAGTGCCACATGTCACTGCCACACTGACGTTGACCTAGAAGACCAAGTCACTGCTGCTTAACAATTTCATGTCCTCCATGCCTCAATGGCCAATGGCACCCCAAAATGCCTGCTAAACAAATCCAACTGACTGACCTTCTGACTACCAAACCCAGGCAATGGAGCACAACACACTTGATCACAACAAAGTGTAAGGCTGGAGTGGGGCCGGACGAGTTCCGCCTCTCTGGGTGAGTTGCTGAAATCTGATGCGGGCTCCATCCAGAAGCCAGCTGCGGGTCAGGGAGAGAGGGCTGGAGCACAGCTTCTCAAGAGGCAGCCTGGGACAGCTGGGGCAGGGTATGAGTGTACAAAGTGTTGGAGTGGGAAAGAAGGGCTGGGCCCTGAGGGAAGGCTTGAATAGCAGTGAAGGCAGGATTCTGCAAGTCGCTTCAGAAAAAAGTCTTCAATTTTTTTCTTTTGCCAGCCCTGATAGCCCAGGATACTTACCCTGATGAACTAGTGACTTTCCAACCAGCCAGAATTGTCTAGCAGAACAGCCAGCTAGTAGGGTTCACTATTTTTGCAGAAACCTTAGCCCACCTAGATTGGTTCCAATTGTGCCGTCCATAAACTTTAATGTTGCTTTGGAATATTTCTCTACATGCTCTCTATTTTTAATACAAATACATCATCTTTTCCAATGGATCATACTCTCCTTTATGAGGAGAGACTCTTCATTCTCTTTGGGTATCCCTGTTAGCACCATACTGGGCTAGATCTTTCTCCTTCTCAAGAGGAAATTGTACTGCAAGGCCAGGACTATTTCAGGGGGGAACTTCTCACGTAGCTTAATGCCGCAGTAGGAGAAAAGATTTGCTGAAACCACCTAGTGGCTCATGGTGCCAAAGTGATACTAGCGCTCTGGGTTTCATGATTCAGACTATAGGAGATGAGAAACTAGGCATGGGGCTGCTTACCTGTTCTTCCTGCAGCGAATTGTGAAGCCAAGCAAGAAGACTATCAGAAGAAGTCCACAGCTGAGAAAAGTCCAAACAATACCCAGGAGGACAGGAGATAATGAAGAAATGGTCCTCCTGCTGTGGTGGGAAGAGGTCTGAGAATAGAATAAAGAGAGGCTGCTAGGAATGGAGGCTCTTCTATAGATCAACCATGAACTGCCCATCATCACCAAAGCTGGGAAATACGTATCCTGCACGAGCATTTCCTCCCCCTCCTCTTTCTCCTCCTCCTCCCCCTCCTCCTCTGCCTCCTGCTCCTCCTCTTTCTCCTTCTCCTCCTTCTTCCCACCACCACCATCACCACCACCACCACCACTAACATGTATATCTGAGCAGTCCTGACACCCCTTGGCTGCTCACTTACAATTGTTGTCCTGCAGAGATCATGAAGGGGTGTCCGATCCAGCTCCTGGCCAGAAAAACTGTCACACAATTCAGAGCAGTTTATTTCAGGCTCCATGTCATCACATGCCCCTCTTGGTGTGTGCTGATTCACAGTCTTGGTTACCCAGCACATCTTTGACGAAAACATAAGAGTAATTCAAATCTTTTCTTCAGAGGTGCCATTTTGGAGCCGGCTCCTGCCTCAGAATCTGGGATGAACGACCCGTTCAGGTGGAAGTGAAGGCTTATTTCACCAGGCTCCTTCATCAGACACCTTCCAGGCTCTCCTTGTGCCCTGCTGCCAGTGCACACCACGTGAGTCAAGAGTGGGCCTCTTAGTAACCATTAGGTTACACAAAGTGATGATTCTGGCTTGCCACCAGATGGCAGTCACTGCTCCAAGTACTCTCACACAGGTCCCAAAGGAAAGGAAAGCAATTAAACCTGTTAACAAAGAAATTATAAATATATTTTAGAAATTATAAATATATATTTTATATATATAAACACAAACACACATATACATATATATGTAAACGGTTTATTTATTACAGAGGTTTAAAAATATTTCATACATTTTAAATATACATAGTTATATTTTTTATTATATATACTTTATTATATATAACAAATGTTTAAAATATAATATATATTTAAGTAAATATATTTTTAACAAATAATACTTTAAAAACAAAGAAAAAGCAGATCTAACAATTTATAGATATAAAGCTCTATAGCCTCTCTTCAGATCCTTTCTATGGCCCAGCACTGGAAAAACTTTAGTTTATTCGTGTGAGGTGTATCTTCCTTTTTTCCCTCCTGGGAAATCCCCTGCCCTTCCAAGATCTTTTCACACAACTCATGGCTTAAGCTCTGTCTGATCCTGGGTGGGGTGGGCTCGCTCGGTTGCCCCATGCCGTCTGTGTGCAATGTCTGTCAGTCACTCCAGCTCCTGTTCTCTCAGGGAGTGGAGGGACACTCTCTGTCCCGTCAGCTGGGTCACAGAAGGATACGCAAGCCCTTTGCCAAGAGTTTGGTTCATCTTTAAACCATTAGACTACTAGACAGGTAATAGGGAGAGAAACGGAGCTGTAGGAATCCCCACAGAGTGAGTAAGTGGCTAGAGGATGGTGTTATTTCTCTCAGAAGATGCTTGCAATACGAATACTGTGATCTAAAGAGATGCTCTACCTTGCAGAACAAAAGTAGAAATGCAGAAAGGCTCAAATTAGCTCTGGCAGAAAAGGTAGACACGTCCCTAATTCTTTAAAGCAATTTATCCCTTAATGGAGAAAACAGATTTGAAATTTTACCAATGGGAATTTTACAAAGGATGCCACTGCTGCTTTGTGTTCTTGAAGCAGCTTAGCACAGTCTTCTTTTATCATGGAGGAAAATTGGAAGAGAAAAAATATCAATTATTATTATTTCAATAGCCACTGAACATAGGACTTGCATTTAAGCCAGAACAATGGTGACTGGTGTAGAATGCTGTCTCTGGATTCTGTGTGCTTAGGCATGAACAATATAGCACCAGGTGCTGCCCGTTTATTGGCTTCTCATATGTTCCTGAATTATTTACCAGGTTCATTACAATGAAATCCCAAGAGAACTGAAAGCCGCTATCTCCTATCAAGACATTTAAATTCTTGTGCAGTCTGGTCAGATTACTGAATGCAAAACTAAGAAGTAAATATAAACATTTGACTATTTGCATCCTAATTTAGTTGAAATTTTAATTGCTGAAAAGACTATTTTTTCTTTTTCTTTTAAATTAGACATCCTCTATTGTGCCATCTGGAATAGTGCGATATTGTGAGCCACACAGAGGACTGTACTATGTGATAGATTGGAAGACATATTTTTCCTATATTGCCCTTTTAATCATACCGACAAATAGGTACACTTATATTTGAGTCATTACTAAGCCCAAGTTTACATATCCTTACACCATTTAGAAGTACACCTGAGTGCGTGTGTGCTTACATAAAACCTCATTTAGTTCTCACTACAACAGTGTCACATGAGGTAAACGACATCAATCCCCATTTTCAAATAAGGAAACCGAAGAGCAGAGACGAGGAGAAACTTGCTCCAAATCTGCAGAGGCAGGACTTGAATCCAGGAGTTTACATTCCTAGGTCAATGTCCTCCCAATATACACCCTACAGGGGCAGACTCTCTGGACTGACCTCTCCCAAGAAGACACTAAGTGGCTTGTTGGATTTCTTCATGTTTAGTTCCCAGAGCTGCACTGCTGTGTGTTCCCTGGCATGTGGCACAGCACAGTGATTCTATACCAGTTGTTCTCAACTGGGGCAATTTTGCATCTCCAGAGGAGACATTTGTGGTTGTTAAAACTGAGAAGAGGGTGCTAGTGACATCTAGTAGGTAGAGGTCAGGGATGCTGCTAAACATCCTACAATTCACAGGATGGTACAAACAATTTTGCCGGAAAGAATTATCCGGCTCCAAATGTCAATAGTGCTAAGGTTGAGAAAGCCTGGTCAACACTGTGGATCCTAGAAGGGCTAACAATCTTCAGCCCGAGAATCATCTTTGAGAGCTTCTGTGAACACCATGTCCATCTGAACATAAATTCCTAGAGGATAAATTCCTGAGTGCATTCCAAAAGTCCCCTCGGACAGACTGAACTCACTGGCATGGAATTTCATGCCCTCCTTAGTCCATCCAGTGTAGAAACTTTATATACCATGATACTGGCTCCCCCATGGGGCAGGAATTCAACTCCAATGTTTGCACACATTCAAAGATTCACACATGAGGAGCTGGTGAAACAGTGATTGGCTTAGTCATTGAGAGGAGAGAACTGAATGATTTCAAAAAGTGTTGAGTGATCAGGAAAGTGGGTGAGGAGTAGTGTGTCACAGAGAGGGTAACAGGGAGGTGTCTGACCACAAGACAGATACAGAATCCAAGGCACAAAAAGAAAGGTCTGCCAGGCTCCTCCAAGAGCAAATCCTGCCCACCCAACCCCTTCCCCCACCTCTCAACCCCTTCCCCCACCTCTCAACGTACACACCAAGTCTCTAGAGGTAAACTGTCTAGGCCACATACAGTAGCAGACCGAAGACCACGCATGGAAGGGCTTACAATTTATTTGACAGAGATTACAGAATCCTGCCCAGTGATTCAGATCACAAAAACAGATACTGCATCAGCTACACTGTCCCCAAGTGCAAGAGGGTCTTATACAGGTTCACAACACTCAACAGCCCCATATCTTTCCACAAAATCTCCCCTATTCTTCTACATATTATTTCTTGCCATTGAAAAACTAGTCATAAAACTACTGTCTTAAAAAGTTGTTTTGCAGTTGGTAGAACTTCTGCTTCTGTTCATGAAGAATTAACTGCTATAGGAATTGTCTTCTCATTGTAAACAACTTGAAAACAAGACAAAACATATGAAACAACTCTTTTCAGACATTGGATAACATATCATAGGACGGTGGGAAAAAAATGAGGTGAATTCTAGAATTGATTGACATATATAAAATGGAATATAAATAAATATTCTTTAAATGACTATAATTGACCCCAAGTTACTGCCCAGAGGCAGTTTCTAGGCCATAGCACAGGGAGGGAAACCCAAACAGAGTCTAGAAGTGTTGCTGAAGTAAGAATAAATCGGAGTTTGGCGATGTTGAGGTAGGTAGAATTTGGTGGCAGAGTAAGGAAGAAGAGGGAGATACAGAGAGTGAGAGTGCTTTGGAACTCTGCGTGGATCCCCTCAGTCTTTTTCGGAGCATTCACCTGGGCATGAGTAAGAGGAAGCTGCTTGAAGTAGAAGAAATAACCACTAGTAGGCAGTAGCTGAGCAATTCTTGGAGCTCATACAGGGCTGGGAATACTTTGTGTTCCCACTAGCCAGAATGGAGAGGCCACATAATATACAGGACATTGGATAGAATCCTCAGAAAGGTCATATCTGAGTAGCGGAACTAGATTAACCCTAGACTAGAAGCTACTCTAGATCTTCCCTAATAATGCTTAGAAAAAAACCTCAAAAGGATCAAACTGATCCAGGAAAAACACAATTGCATTCCAGAACACCATACAATGCTCTTTAAAAGAATACAACAGAATCCAGCACTTAACAACATAAAATTCAAAATATCCATCACCCAATAAAAAATTACCAGGCATGCAAAGAAGCAAAAAATGTGACTTATAACCATACATTTTAAAAAAATTTGTTTTAAAATAAAAACAAATAGAGAAATAACAGAAATGACATAACTAGCACACAAGGACCTTAAAACAACTATTATAAATATGCTCAAGGATATAAAATAGAATACAAATAAAATGAGGAGAGAAATAAAAGACATAAACAAGACCCAAATGGAACTTCTAGAGATAAAAACATAATTCTGAAACTAAAAATACACTAGATTAAACACTGTAAAAATAAAATATTGGTTAACTTAAAGACAATGCAATAGAAATTATCCAAAATGAAGCATAGAGAGAAAAATGATTGATAAAAATGGACATAGCCTCAGTGACTTACAGAACAATAGCAAGTGGTCTAACAATGTAAGTGGAATTCTGGGGGAAAAAAGGAGATAAATAGAAAAAATATTTGAAAAAAATAATGACCAAAAATTTTTCATTTTGATGACAAATATAAACCTACAGATCCAAGAAGTTCAACCAACTCCAAGCAGAATAAACATTAAAATACTCACACACACACCAACGTGCATCATAATGAAATTGCTGAAAACCAGCGACAAAGATAAAATCTTAGGTGCAGCTAGATGATGTACAGAGGAACAAGAGTAAGACCTACAACAGATTTCTCATTTCAAATTATGTAAGCCAGAAGAGAAAGGAATGACATCTTTAAAGAGCTGGAAGAAAAAAAAGTCAACCCAGAATACAATAGCCAGTGAAAACATCTTTCAGAAATTAAGGTAAAAAAAAGACATTTTTAGACAAAGAAATCTGAGAGACATGCACTACAAGGAATGTTAGAGGAAGTTCTTCAGGCAGAAGAAAAATGATACCAGATGCAAATTTGGATCTATACAAAGGAATGAAGGGTGCCGAAAAATGATAAATATGTGGGTAAATGCAAAAAAATGTATTTATTATTTTTTAGAGCTATGCTCATAAGCATGTACCCATTGGAAAAATACACATATACTGTATTTTCCTTTACACCCATATCATCTATACTCTTTCATTTTTCAAACACCACTGCCTTGGTTCATATGCTCATTGCCAGTTGAGTTGGTGCCTGCATTACTAACAAAGCTGAACCATAAAAGGCTTCCAGGGCAATGAAGTGATGAGATGAATATGTAAGGAGATGATATATACACATTAATGCAAAATTCCGTGGCTACTCATTCCCTTTCCCCCCAAAACTCTGTTACTGCTAATATGCATTAATGAATATTTATTATTCAT